AAAAAAAAAAAAAAAAAGGGAAAGTCAAGAGAAGTGAAGGCAAGTCTCAAACTGACAATGTTTGCAAAGGCACATCTAATAAAGAACTGTTATTCAAAATATACAAAGAACTCTTAAAACTCAACAATAGGAAAACAACCTGATTTAAAAAATGGGTGAAAGATGTGAAGAGACACTTCATCAAAGAAGATAAACAGATGGCAAGTATGCATATGAAAAGATATTCAACATTACAGGTCATTAGGGAAGTGCAAATTAAAACAATGAGATACCAAATGGCCTGAATCCAAAACACTGACATCACCAAAAACTGCAGAGGATTTGGAGCAGCAGGAACCCTCTTTTGTTGCTGGTAGGAATGCAAAATAGTACAGTCATTTTAGAAGAGAGTTTGTCAATTTTTTCCAAAACTAAACATTCTCTTACCATATGACCCAGAAAGCACACTCCTTAGTACTTATCCACATAAGCTAAAAAATTATGTCCATACAAAAGCCTGATTATTTTCAGGACGTTTATAGCAGCTTTACTCATAATTGCCAAAACTTGGAAGCAATTATGATGTCCTTAAGTAGCTGAATGGATAATAAACTGTGGGACGTTGAGGCAATGAAATATTATTCAGCATAAAAAAAGAAATGAGCTATCAAGCCATGAAAAGACATGGAGGAAACTGAAATGCATATTATAAAGATAAGAAGCCAATCTGAAAAGGCTATATACTGCATGATTCTAGCTATATGACATTCTTGAAATGGCAAGACTATAGAGGAAGTAAAAACATTAATGGCTACCAGGATTTAGGGGGAATGGAGAGATGAACAGAGAGAGCACAGAGGATACTGAAACTATTCCATAGCATAGTTCAATGGTAGATACGTATTATTGCATTTGTTGAAACTCATAGAATGTACACCACCACGAGTGAGCCCTTATGTGAACTATGGACATGGCTGATAATCACGTGTGAATGCAGGGTCACTGATTGAAACACACGCACCACTCTGCTGCAGGGAAGAGCTTGTGTGTTGGGGGCTTTGGGGGAGACTGGGGCATATGGGGATTCTCTGTACTTTTTGTTCAATTTTGCTGTGGGCTTAAAACTGCTCTGAAAAATAAAGTTTATTAACTATAAAGAAGTAAAAATACCAATTTAGTGATTTTATTTTAAAATAGAATACAAAAGATCAAATATCATATAATTAAGACAAGTACTGTTTAATGAAACATTTGTTTCAAATATATAGATATGTAAAAATAAACATTTATGTGTACATACTAGGTCTCAATATAAAATATACTTATTACTGTGAATATGTTCAAAGCAGCCTGAAAGCAACTGATTTAAACGCTGTGTTTCTCTTGCCTTCTGACATGTAAATTAAACACCGTTACATCTCTTCCATTTGAAGCAAATCTTAACATACCTGCTCCAACATAATTTACAGCTTTAGCAGCTCTGACTGCAGCTTCTCCAAGCTTTTTTCTTACTTCAGGTTTAATACCAGGCTTTGAAAAAAATATTTAAGTAAATCTCCATTAGTAGCTTGCCTTACTAGAAATTCCATTAAAATTCAATTCAGTCAGGTGCCACGTAATGACGTTTCTCAGTCAACAACGGCCCACATATACAACAGTTAATCCCATAAGATTATAATGGAGCTGAAAAATTCCTATGACCTAGTGACAGTGTAGCTGTCACAACATCACAGCACAGTGCATTACTCATGTGTTTTGTGGTGAGGCTGGTGTAAACAAAACAATTGCACTGCCAGTATACAAAAGTATAGCACAATCATGTGCTGTACATAATACTTGATAACGATAATAAACAACTATGCTATTGGTTTATATATTTACTATATGATATAATTTTTACAGTTATTTTAAAGTGTGTCCCTTTCACTTAAAAAAAGTTAAACTGTAAAACAGCCTCAGGTAGGTCCTTCAGGTGTTTCAGAAGAAGGCATTGTTATCACAGAAGATGACAGCTCCACAGAAGTTATTGACCCTGAAAACTTTCCAGTGGGACAAGATGTGGAGGGAAGGCAGGGACACTGATGATCCTGACTCCGTTTAGGTCTAATCTAATGTGTGTGTTTGTGTCTTCATTTTTTTGTTGTTGTTGAGACAGAGTCTTGCTCTGTTGCCCAGACTGCAATGGCGCAATCTCAGCTCATTGCAACCTCCACCTCCTGGGTTCAAGCAATTCTCCTGTCTCAGCCTCCCAGGTAGCTAGAATTACAGGTGCACACCACCACGCATGGCTAATTTTTTGTAGTTTTAGTAGAGACAGGGTTTCACCGTGTTAGCCAGGATGGTCTCAATCTCCTGAATTCATGATCTGTCCACCTTGGCCTCCCAAAGTGCTGGGATTACAGGCATGAGCCACCGTGCCCAGCCTGTGTCTTCATTTTTAACAAAAAAGTTTAAAGAGTTAGAAAAAGCCAGGTGCAGTGGCTCACCCCTGTAATCCCAACACTTTGGGAGGCAGAGGTGAGTGGAGCGCTTGAGTGCAGGAGTTTGATCCCAGCCTGGCGAGACTCATACCATGGAGCAACACGGCGAGACCCCGTCTACAAAAATAGAAAAATTAGCCAGGCATGAAAGTACATACCTACAGTCCCAGCTACTCCAGAGGCTAAGGTGGGAGGATCACTCGAGCCCAAGAGGTCATGGGTCTAGTGAGCCATGTTCGTGCCACTGCACTCCAGCCTGGGTGACAGAGCAAGAACCCATCTCAAAAAAATTTAATTAAAAAATGTAAAAACAGGAAAAACTTATAGAATAAGGCTATAATTTTTTTTCTTTTTTGAGATGGAGTCTTGCTCTGTTGCCCAGGCAGGTGTGCGGTGGTGTGTGATCTTGGCTCACTGCAACCTCTGCCTTCCAGGTTTTTAAAGCAATTCTCCTGTCTCAGCCTCCGAGTAGCTGGGATTACAGGTGCCTGCCACCACACCCAGCTAATTTTTGTATTTTTAGCAAAGACAGCATTTCACCATGTTGGCCAGGCTGGTCTCAAACTCCTGACCTCAAGTGATCTGCCTATCTTGGCCTCCCAGAGCCCTGGGATTACAGGTATGAGCCACCACACCCACCCAAGAAAAGATATTTTTGTATGTCTGTATAATGTGTTTGTATTTTTAGGTAAGTATTACTTAAAAAGAGTCAAAAAGTGAAAAAAAAAAAATTTAACAGCTTATAAACATATACATATATAAAGTAAAAAAGTTCCAGTAAGCTAAGGCTAATTTATTAAATAAAAATATTTTTTATAAATTTAACTTAGTGGAAGTGTACAATGTTTACAAAGTGGCAGTGTTGTACTAGGTCTTCATATTCACTGTCCCACCCAGAGCAACTTACAAACTTGCAGGCTCCATTCAGGGTGACTACTCGACACAGGTGTACCATTTCACAAATCTTTTATACTGTATTTTTACTGTACCTTTTCTATGTTTATATATGTTTAGATACTTACCACTGTGTTACAACTGCCTGAAGTATTCAGGACAGGAATATGCTGCACAGGTTTGTCGCCTGGCAGCAATAGGCTCTACCAGCAGCCTACCTGTGCAGGGGGCTGTAATTACTATCTAGGTGTAAGCACACTCTATGATGTTCACACAATGACAAAATCACCTAAGGACACATTTCTCAGGACGTATTCCTATTGTTAAGCAATACACAACTGCATTATATTTCTATGTATCAAATACTGCATTAAAAAAGATAAAAAGCTATTATACACTTCATCAAAAACTACTATCCTATCCTAGTTTAAATGTCAATATACCCAAGTTCAATGATTCTGCTACTAATTTCTCTGCATTGCAGATATTACTCATCATAATTACATATCTTTGTCCCTTGTATCTATCTACATGACAACTTTCTTAACTATATGTCCACTTAAAATTATGTGTTTCAGGCTGGGCACTGTGGCTCGGGTCTGTAATCCAAGTGTTTGGGAGGCTGAGGTTGGAAGATTATTTGAGGCCAGAAGTTTGAGATCAGCCTGGTCAATACAGCAAGAACCCATCTCTACGATAAATTTAAAAAATTGGCCAGGCACGGTGGCATGCACCTGTAATTTCAACTACTCAGGAGACTGAGGGGAGGAGTGCTGGGGCCCAGGAGTTGGAGACTGCAGTGAACTATGATCATGCCACTGCACTCCAGCCTGGATGACAAAGTCAGACCCTGTCTCAAAAGAACAAAACAAAACAAAACTATATGTGTCAATATGGTAACTTTCAACAATCCTTATTTTGTTTCAGGATGATAGGCAATCTGAGTCACGTGCCTAATGATTATCTTAAAATAATGGGAAACCTTGAGATTTCAAGTTAATAAGAAAGGTTCATAAAAAGAAATGTATGTCAATAAGTAAGCAGAGTTTTCAACATTTTAAAACAGTGCTATACAGATATAAATTTAGGTAATCACCACATGAAAATAAGGCTTTACTGCAATTCCTATTGACATTTAATGTGTCAATATTCATGGCTTAACATTCTGGTACAATGTATAATGGTATAATATATTCTATAACATAAATATATTCTGCAACATAAATTAAAATTTGAATATAAGAATAATATACTTATTAACCAGAAACCTCTGATCCCTGACTCTTTGGAAATCAATATATATTGGAAAAAAAAAAACAACCAAAAAAAAACATAACTTTGAACAAGAACCCATGGCAGTAGCAACCTCCACAGAAATGTAAATCCAAAAACAAGTAGTCCCAGTAGCAAGCTTTGACCCAGATAATCCCCTAAACCAATCAAGAGTAAGGCTCCAAGATATGTAAACAATTAATGTTAAGGGAGCAAAAGCTGCCAAACGAGTGATCCTCTCTTCTCTATAATACAACCATTAAGGCAGGAAAATCACTAACATATTTTCAGAACATGTAAAATGGTAATTAAAACAGAAAAGGCTTCTCCATAAAAAAATAAATCCAATTAACCAGACCATTCCATTCCAGTAACTGATTCTAGTTAATTACAATTTGAAATGTGCATTGAAACCTCATTATACAGCTTTTCACTGTAAATCAGAGAGGTGAATCAGAGTAGATTTTCAGTATTTTATCCAGAAGGAACATGGCCCTGTTGTGTCTACCCTGAAAACATCAATTTCCTCCTTACTCCCAGTACTGCAGGAGGTCTTTCATTACACTGCTATTAGAACACAGTTGTCCAGCAGGGGTTTGAGGGCTAAGAGACGCCAGCTTAAAAGATTTCTGATGTGAAAATCAGACTTAATGAGATTCACATTATAGAGAAGCTTACAAATTTCCTTCCAAGATCCTTACCGCTGGGGCCTCCTCAATGATCTTCTGATGTCGCCTCTGCACACTACAGTCTCTTTCAAACAAGTACACAGCATTGCCATGGTGATCCCCAAACACCTGGACTTCTACATGCCTAGACAAAAGCAAACACATATGTTAATGTATTTGTCAGACGTGATAAATATCACATTCGTGAAGCTAAACTGCTAGGCCCAATCACCAGGATTTCTCCATTTTTACTTTCTTTAAGTAAAGTCTGACATTTTGACCTCAAATTAGAGATTATGGACTTAGAAAAAGAACTACAGGCCAGATGAGATGGCTGACGTCTGTAATTAAGGCAGAATGCTTGAGCCCAGGAGTTCAAGACAAGCCTGGGCAACATAGTGAAACCCCATCTCTACAAAAAACTAGACAGGCATGGTAGCACATGCCTGTAGTACCAGCTACTCAGGAGGCTGAGCCCAGAAGGTTGTGGCTGCAGTGAGCTGAGATTGTGCCACAGCATTCCAACCTGGGTGACAGAATGAGAGACCCTGTCAAAACAAACATATTATAATCTTGTAAAACTCAATGAAAAAGTTACCATTTGTAGGATGACTATTAAAGGGAAAAAATCTCTACATAAAATGACAAATAAGAAAAGACATTTCTCCAACCTGAAGAATAATGAATGAATGAATATTTTTAAAAGACAGAAAATAGAGACTAAAGTAGGGATAAGCAGTAAAAAGAACAAATTTTCAAAGAAAAGACTGACAAATTTGACTACCTCGAAATTACAAATTATAGTCACTTCATATTGTCAAAAGACCAATGAAAAAATTTTTAAGACCACTTTTTGTTTTTAAGCAACTCTTACATTTAGATTTTATGACTACAGAAGACTGAAATTAAAATGGCTTACCCAGAAAAGTTAAATACATTAAATTAATATGGATCATTAGTATCTCAGAAATATACTGACAATAAATCATAATAAAACCCAAAAAAAGGCCAGGCACAGTGGCTCACACTTATAAATCCCGGCACTTTGAGAGGCCAAGACAGGAGGATTGCTTGAGTCCAAGAGTTCAAGACCAGCCTGGGCAACAGGGTGAAGCTGTTTCTAAAAAAAAAAAAAAAAAAAATTTTTTTTTTTTTTTTAATAAGCTGGGGATGTTGGTACATGCCTGTAGTCCTAGCTGCTCAGAAGGCTCAGGCAGGAGGATTCCTTGAGCCCAGGAGTTTGAGGTGCCACTGCACTCCAGCCTGGCTGATAAAGTCAGACCCCATCTATAAGGAAAAAAACCCACCAACAAAGGCACTTAAATGTTGAGTATAAAATAGTAAAATTATGAGAAATCATATTAAGAGTGAATGCACATAGCCTTTATGAAAATAAGGCTAATATGGACTACTTGGCGAACATGAAAGCATTCTTCTCAGTAGGTTTATTGTGACATGGTCACGCTGTCGTTCACTTCACCTACTCACCACCATAATTTAGAAATGAGTGATCAGCAAGTATGTTTTTCTATTGATTTTTTAAAATAAAAGCTGTCAAATACAGAAGAGACAAAAAAGCCAGGAAGTCTTATAAACATATTGCTTTAGTACAGTAGGTCATTTCTCTTCTTGTTTACTTCATGAAGTATTTCATTTACCCACCTCAAAAAATTAATCTTCTTGCTGGGCGTGGTGGTGCACACCTGTAATTCCAGCACTTTGGGAAGGCGAGGCAAGTGGATCACCTGAGGCCAGGAGTTTGAGACCAGCCTGGGCAACTTGGTGAAACCCTATCTCTACTAAAAATACAAAAATTAGCCAGGTGTTGGGGTGCACACCTGTAATCCCGGCTAATCAGGATACTGAGGCATGAGAGTCACTTGAACCTGGGAGGCAGAGGCTGCAGTGAGCTGAGATTGTGTCCTGCACTCCAGCTGGGTGACAGAGTGAAACTCTATCTAAAAAAAAAAAAATTATCTTATCATGTTTTCTGAATGTTCCAGTTTTGAATTTTCTAAGCTGTCCAATACATTTTCTTAATAAAATTCTTAGAGCTGATTTTTTCTTTTTCGATTTCTTGCCTTGTTGACTTTTCCTCTTTATCCATAAGCTAATAACCAAATACATTGTTGCCATTATTTTGAACAAACTGTTATCTGTTAAATCATTTAGAATGGGTAAATACTCCTATGTCAGAATAGGAAAATATTTTACCTCCACTTATTCCTTTTCCAATTATTTTCTATTCTTTATCTAGATCCAAATTTCGGACCTAAAACATTTTATTTCACTCTAAAGAACTATTATTTCCTGCAAGGCAGGTCTACTGGTGACAAATTCTCTTAATTTCTGTTTGTCTGAGAAAGACTTTATTTCTCCTTCACACTTGAAGAATAATTTCACTGGATATAGAAAACTAGGTTGGTACTTTTTCTCTGAACACTATTTCTCATTCCACTCTCTTCTTGCATGGTTTCTGATAAGATTTCTTATCTTTATTCCTCTAGTATTTTCCTTCCTTGGAGCTTCTTTCAGTATTTTCTATTTGTCTTTCTTTTCCTGCAATTTGAATATGATGTGCATAGGTGTATATATTTTGGTGTTTATTCTTCTTGGTGTCCTCTGAGCTTCCTGTCTCTGTAGTTTTGCGTCTGTCATTAATTTTGGAAAATTCTTGGCTATTACTACTTCAACAATCTCTCCTGCTGTTTTCTAATTCTTGTGGTATTCAAATAATGTGTTACACCCTTTTAAATTGTCCCACAATTCTTACATATTCTGTTTTTTTTTTTTTTTTTTTTTTTTTTTT